CGGTAGGAATGAGGAGTTTCTAGCAGGGCATTGTTCGTGTTTTGTGTAGCAATGAAGTAACAGAATTTATCACCAAACAAGTGGAAAGTATGAACAACTGTCGGTGAGATTTTATGGATTTTTGTCTTCCTCTCCATTTCTCCTCTCTGATGGCTGCGCCCAGGAAGTCAAGTTTAGTTTCAATAATTCACAGACACGAGCCGCCAGCTTCACATGAAATGCTGCCCTGCCACTTCTTTCCACCTTTTGCTTTTCTCTATTAACTTTCTACTTTTTCATTTTCACCAGACTCACCTGCAGAACTCCACCTGTGTGCGTCTCTGTTTTTACAAGCAACCCAGTACATGATCCACGTCCTAGAAGAAGCATTGCTCCAATGTCGGTTCTTTTATTTAACACAATAATAAATTAAACTCCGCTTCTTCTGGTAACGTTCTAATGAACTGAAATGGAAACTTTCAAACATTTTAAGACCAAGACTCCTTGGCTCCAGGAGGAATAAAAGCACCAGCGCCGAAACTCGCAGCATTTTTTGGCTGCTCTGCCAGCATGTCCCTCAATGTTCTTCACCAGAGGATTTGTTCTCTTTATTATTCTTAAATAAGTTATAGATGACCCGCACTTGTATAGCGCCTTTCAGAGTCAGAGGACTCTAAAGTGCTTTACACTACAGCGTATCATTCATCCATTCATTCACACACTGATGGTGATGTAGCCACAGCTGTCCTGAGGTGCACTGACGGAGACGGTGCTGCCGAGCACAGGTAGAGCCCTGCACTGGAGCCCTAGGCCCGCGGGTCGGTCCGGCCCTAGGCCCGAGGGCTGGGCTTCAGGCCAACGACTGTGTAATTACCTCGGACACGGGCCGGACCGGGCGCCTTTATTTTTAATCGAATTCATTAAAAGCAGCTTAAACACGAACGCAGCAGCACCTGCCTGCTTCTCACGCACCGGCACCCGTTAGCTCAGTTAAGGTGTGTGTGGTTTATAAACGCGCCGATATAAACGAATTCTCAAACTGCTGATGGAAACATGTGGCCCTGTTCTAACATGCTGTTTTATGTCCACTTTGATGTCAGAAACATTCGTTTATCCTCATGAAAACGGCAGCGTTCTATTTTTCTGTGAATAAATTCGCTCTGCAGTTAGAAAAAATACAGCATTCATTGCTGGTTTCTTTCTAACTGGAGAGCGAATTTTCAGAGCGGCAGGTTAAATTTACAAACGCGATATTAATTGGGGGCGTTTATTTAATCTGCCGCTCTGAAAATGCGCTCCGCAGTTAGAAAATTAGAACGCTGCTTTTTGTCTAACTGCACGAGAGCGCATTTTCAGAGCAGATTAAATTTACAAACGCATCCAATTAATATAGTGTTCGTAAATTTCATCTGCCGCTCGGAAAATACGCTCTGTTAGAAAAAAAAGCTGCATTGATGCTGTTTTTCTTTCTTTTCTCTCTTTTTTTTTTACTGCAGAACGCTTCCCACAGATAAGAACGCTGAGCATTCTGTCACGCTAAAACATTATGAAAGGTTAAAAAAAAAGTCGGGCTCGGGTCGGGCCAGAGAATCCTGAAAACCTTTTCGGACCGGGTCGGACACGGGCTCAGATTTTAGGCCCGTGCAGGGCTCCACCCACAAATTATACATCAAAACGAGCGGATCGGCAGTGGGAGGTGTGCTATTACATTTCTAATCATTTCTATTTACAAAGGCAAAATTCTTCCATCTCAGGAACGTTGCTAAGCTGAGTCCCATTCTGTCCCGCTCTGAACTTGAGACAGTTCTCCACACCTTCATCTCCTCACACTTAGACTACTGTAACTCTCTTTTCACGTGTCTGAGCAGAACCTCCCTGAACCGTCTACAGGTGGTTCAGAACGCCTGTGCTCGGCTTCTGACCAAGTCCTCCAAACACACCCACATCACCCCGCTTCTCCTCCAGCTTCACTGGCTGCCAGTCAACTTCAGGGTTCATTTCAAGATCCTGGTTCTGGTCTATAGGGCCTTACATGGACAAGCACCATCTTTCATTGGTGATCTTCTTAGTCCCTACACCCCCAGCAGGTCCCTGAGGTCCAGTGATCAAAGCCTACTGGTTGTGCAGCACCAGGCTAAAGGTCAAAGGTGACAGATCATCTGCTGCTGTGGCCCCCAGACTCTGGACCTCTCTCCCCCTGAGCCTGAGATCAGTGGACTCAGTGGTCTCCTTTAAAAAGCAGCTGAAGACTCACTTGTTCAAGCTGGCTTTTGTATGACCTTCTTCACCTCTCTCTCTTTATTCTGCTCTCCCCACCTATTCCACCTTCCTCAGGATCCACTGGTTTCCCTCTTTCCTGTTCAATCTCTCTCTTTCTTTACATTTTTTTATCACAATTGTCTATTTTTTGCTCATTTTAAATATATTTTTTAATCTTTTTCAAAATTATTTTTTATATTTTTACATTTTTTGTTTTTGTGTAGCACCTCGTGATTTTTATCTTGAGAGGCGCCATAGAAATGATACTTTCTTCTTCTTCTAAATCATGGCGTTTGCTGTGTTTTGGAAGCATAGCACGTCAAAACTAGACTCAAAACGTAATGATAGCGTGTCCTTGCTTCTGAGCCGCGTCCAAAACGTCACCCTTAGCTGCCGGTGGAAAGGAGCTCATCCACTATAACAGCAGCTAATGGCTGTGTATCATGTTTTGCGGCCGTTTAGCAACGTTTTTACACGCAGTGCAAAGGAGGGATTATTCCTGCTGCAGTAACTACATTTGTTACAAACCAATGGTTTGTACAAAGCCACCAGGACTTTTCATTTTCCATCTCAAGGCTTTAATTTATTTTTTACTTTTCCTGAACTGAATTTTCTGAATCAGACTGATGCTGATGATGAAGAGTTTGATTTCCAGCACTGGTAGCTGCAGATGATGGAACTGTAGAGCTGGAGGAACGATGGTGCCGTCCTCAGAGGACAACAGACATCCATCCATCCATTTTCTGAACCCGCTTTGCCCACGCAGGGTCGCGGGGGGGCTGGTGCCTATCTCCAGCGGTCAACGGGCAATCAGGCGGGGTACACCCTGGACAGAGAGCCAGTTCATCGCAGGGCAACACAGAGACACACAGGACAAACAAACATGCACACACACACTCACACCTAAGGACAATTCAGACAGACCAATCAACCTAAAAGTCATGTTTTTGGACTGTGGGAGGAAGCCGGAGTACCCGGAGAGAACCCACGCATGCACAGGGAGAACATGCAAACTCCATGCAGAAAGTTCACAGGCCGGGAAGCGAACCCAGGACCTTCTTGCTGCAAGGCAACAGCTCTAACCACTGCGCCACTGCGCAGCCCGACATCCAACCAGGAAACAGCATTTATCTGGAATATGGTGATTATATAATTATGGTAAGCGTCTTTGTTTCAAATGGGCCATTCCCATCTGTACCGGGTCGGCCCGGGCCGGGTAGCGTAGGTTGTTTACATATCTGGGTGGCCTGGTACTTTTCCGGGCCAACCAAGGCTCATTCTCAGCCCTCTTCTCGAGGGGGTCTGCTTCAGGCCGACCAGGACCAACACACCCACTGCTGACAGCAAATCCACACCTTCCATTAGAGCAAGCCTCTGATTGGTGGGTAGAATCAGCCCACATGGGCTTAAGGCAAGGATGTGTGGAATCAACCGGGCCAGGCTGGGGCCGACTGGGGCTACCCGGCCCGGGTCGACCCGGTACAGATGGGAATGGCCCAAAAGTTTGAGGCAAAAACAGCACAGACACACACACACACAGACACACACACACACACGCACGCACGCACGCACGCACGTCTGGAGCTTAAATAAAATACCCTGTTACATTATTTTTCACTAATTATTCAACTCAGTCAGCTTACGTGTCACATTAGAAGATGACTCTAAAAGTGTGAAGATGAAAAACAAAAGTCAGAAACCGCGGCCGTGTGAAAGCTCATTGTCCTGCTGAGGCAGATGTGCTTTAAAAACACCTGACACGTAAAACAAAGGAAGAACGATCAATGACAGGAGGAAAATATAAAAAAACCCAAAAGGGACGCTTTGAATTGGAAAGAAAGCAAAGAGGACGTGACTCGAATCCCAGTCAGTCATTCAAACCAGCTGATTAAACCACATAGCTTCAGTCTAGCAGGCAAAATCAGCTGCATCCAGATAACCAATTAGCTAAAAGATCTGAAACGACACGCCGTGTCAAGGAAAAAGTACAAATGCTGGGAGAACAATCAACTTCCTATTTCCAGGATTGAGTGGAAATGTTAAAAACAGTTGAGGAAAAAAGTCCAAATGTGCTGACAGACGTTGACTTGAGAGAGGTCAAAGCCTTCAACAAAACCCAGAGGAATCAAACTGAAAAACATTAATAATAGCCAGAAATTTCCTGAAGAGACTTTGAAAAGGGACTTGCCACCCGTCACAGGACAGTTTTTATGCAGATGTAAAAATGCTACACACACACAATTTTGAAGGATAGTTCAATCTTCCCAAAAATGGGAAATATTTTGATGTTTTTGTTAATTATTTCATCGTGGTAAATCAGATCCCTTAAAAAAGTAATAGCAACCCCCCCTCCCCGCTGACCTGCTTGTTTTGGTGTATAACTTTTGGAGGTGCACGTTGCCGTGTGAGCTGCATTAACGTCCACGGAATAATAATAATAATAATACAGATGATTATTGTCAGATATCCCACCAGGTGCATAACAACAAGGGCCCTGCTTGCTGCAGCAGCTCCCTAATAAAACATTATTAACCTATAAAACATTTATTTTATATTCTTGACATTTTGAAGTACAAGTGCAAGTCCCAGACTTTTTTTGTGAAGGATTAAAAGACGCCGCTACAGAAGTAAACCGAATGCTGCAATATTTAATTTATTCTAGTGAAATGAAACGTCCAGAACTCTCAGTTAATAAATAAATAAACATCAAAAACAGAAAATAAGCCTAATGTGAAGATGTGAGGTTTGGCGCTCAGGCTCAC